TGGAACCTCTGAAGGATGCTTGCCACTCTGCACGGAGCATGCCTGACTTCACCTTTCTCAGCATGCTCTGTGAGTCAGTTGCAATGACGACATGTGTGTACAGATGATTCTCAAGCTAAAGGAAGGCAGCAGTGACTGCCTCCACCTCTATTCTCAAACTAGACATGACATCATATGCCAGGATCTGTTGCGCCAAGCGACGTCCATTCGCCTTCGCTATGAACCCCCATGTACTTCGTCTACCCCTCACCACAGAGCCATCTGTATATACAATCACATCACTTGGGTGGGAATTGTCATGAATCATTTGTTGAACTTCTGATTCTGCAGCACCAGCTGGCCAGTCCCTGCACTCACGACCCAAAAGTGATTAGAACCCTACACAAGTTTGATACATGATCGGACACTTTGACCCACTCCTCTCCTCACCTAAATTTATTAAGCCTGCACACATGTCCAATTGTGTCTTCAACTTGCACCATCCAAGACTTTCCTCTTTTCAGTCTGTGACCCTCAGCTCTATCCATGGCTACATGCAGGAGGTGCCTCTTGTCCGCAGCTACTCTGAGATATGCAGAACTTTGAGCCTATCTGCAATAGCAGGCAGTGCAAGTATATATCACATACATACTACCGGGGTATCTCTTGTACATCTCAGAATCACCCGCATGGCTTCATTCAAGTTTCATCAGCTGACTCTTTGATATGGTAAACATGTCAAGTCCATAATCTATTACCCACAGGATCACATGCTGGAACATTGTGAACAACATTCTTTGATCCATGTCCATTGCTGCCATCCTCTTGAGAGCATTGAGTCCTTTTTGGCATTTCACTGCAACTGCATCCACATGATCCCTGAAGGACAGGCTTCTATCAAAATGGTTTCAAGTGGGGATGCAATGGATGGCTAATGTATGCTTTTAATGCGTGTGTATGCTAGATATGCTGAGACAGCAGTCAGTCAATCTTTCCACAAGGAATTGTGATAAACATTCTGTGTATTTTTCGTTGGCTATAAAGCTGAAACTAAGACTACCAGACTGTCCCTGCCTGACTGCAGATTTTATAGTTTTAAAAAAGGTAGTGACAGATTTGGGCTCTCCTCCGAACAGCGTCATAATATAATGGCGGCCATAAAATATCCAAAAATATCTGAACAGGGCTCAGTTGTATTAAAAATATGCCGGCTCGGTATAACGAAATAAATGCTCTAACAGGGTCTCAGTGACATGTTACTTGCGGACCTGTTTCTGTGACTGTGCCTAACCGCCGACGAGCAGCAGCTACCGCATCTCCAGCAACTTCCTCCAACTAATTTGCTCGTGAGTCCCAGGCACCTAGTTTAGCCCCCCATCCTGGGGATATGCTCGGCGGTAAGTTTAATCGCGTTTTGCGTATGCCGAAAAGTGTGAGGATACAGGTCGGCAAGTCTGACATCTACCGCTGCTAAATCTTTAATCGGACTAACAGTATTGCTAATCTGCGTGGTCTACCCGCCATATCACTTTCATCGTCTGTAATGTCTCAAAATTGTCAACGGTCGCTAATATTGTCTACTAGTATCGTCTGCAGAAACGCTTGAAATTGTCAACGGTCAGTATTTATCGTCTGCTACTACCGTGTGCAATGCTGATATTGATATTGTCAAGTAATCCTAGTTTTGCCGCGATTTGTCCCTTGGCAGAAAGTCCGTATTTTAGATATGCCTTAGCCCCGTTCGGATATTTTTTCGCCGCCATAATATTATGACGCCGTTCGGAGGAGAGCCCAGATTTGCTATAGTTTATTTCAATAAGGTTTTAAATTATCTTTATATAAGATATAAATTCATTTTGACTAATTATTAGCAGAATAATAAAATCACAATACTAATTATTTATAATTAATTGTAATAAAATTTAAATTAGATCATTGAGTTGACTGCATTTCATTTTAAATTTTTGTTTTTCAGTATCATCAGTCTACTTCACTTCTTTCACTTCATGACTTTATGTGTTGCTTTGTAAAATTCCACGCGTTAAGAACACTGCACAACAGACGTAGCTTAATATCATTTTCCTCTTTCAATACAGCTGCAGCCGTGATGTACCATACCTCCTGACACGATATTTCCTCGGTTACATTCGAATCTAGTAATCCATCGCTTTGTTCATCCACGGAGGTCGCCATTTTTTGTAATTGATGCTATGTTCATTTTTGTGGCTTTTGCTCATGCAAGAGCTCTCTCCCAAGTTAGGCAACCATCAAGGAGATGAGTGGCACCTTTATTGTTACAAAACCAAGCTGGTTTTGTCAGACAAGAAAGAAATGCAACACTAAGCACTTTGCGAATGACTGCCCTAACCTTCATCTTTGTGCGAAATCATACAGGTTTTCAAGGAAACGAACGTGCAGATTATCTTGCTGACACTGCGGTTGCTATGGCTAGTCCGATACTGGACAGAAGCGATGTTTTCAATGCCATGCGCTGCACTAACTAATCACAATTGTTGTTATACATCTACAATAGTGCCTTTTACCTTCTTAAAATCCATGCTGAGTAACGTTGACAGGTGTGACTAATGGCAACATTCTGTCTCGCTCACCTTTAGTAAATTTAACACAGATGATCTTCAATGCTACGTCTCAAATTGTTAAGCATCTCCTCTCTTATTCTCCATTGCCTCTTTCCCCCATACAACTTACAAACCATTGCTCAACTCCTCCAGTTTTCTCCCTCTCATGACATGACCAAAGAATAGATTGTATTCTTCTTATGTGGGCCATCATTTCTATTTGTGAGTCAGTCATCTTCGTGTGAGACTACATATGAGACTTATAATTTATCTAATAAGTGTATGCTTGTAATTTGTTTCTTTAATCCTTTTGGCACCAATTAGCAAGTTAAACGTTCATATTTTAATGTTAGCACTTAACAGGGTAAAAACAAGAATCTGCAACTTTACGCAACCTTTCTTTGATTCTCTGTGTGAATCAACACATGCATAGTGCAAACATTTATCTAAAGTGTGTTCAAAAGTTCATTCGTTCACTTGTTATCGCATACATTAAATATATTTTTAAAATAAGTTCAGCCAGTATCCCCGAATGAGGAGGTTTAGGTTATAATTGTGACCAGGTTATTTGCGCCAGACAAAATGGCTTCGCATTGGACGCCACCAAAAGCCCTAAAAAGGATTTTCCTGTAGTGTTGATGCGATCAAAAGTGACACGCCCAAATACTGTCGCGATCTGCAATGAAGTCGTCTACCGGAGAGCCAATAGGCGACCATGTCGCCGTGGTGTGTGGTTTGAAAAATACATGGTTAAATTTAAAGGTTGTTGCGTATCCTTTACAGGACGTTGCAGAACCAATCCTAACAGTCCCTGTCTGTTGTGTGGTTTTTCTAGGCAAATTTACGTCCAGTAGTTTGCCATTGCCTCTGGACGGTCGGCTTTCTTGATACCACTGTCGAAAGCAATGCAAGGCGCATTGCCCGCAGCTGGGATCGAACCCGGCATTCCGGCATTACGAAGCGAAGCGTTCGCATCGACTTAGCCCCAGAGCCGACTTCATGGTTAAATTATACATAAATAAACATATTTGTCATGAATATTTTCAGATTTCTAGGCGGCACCCAACAATGAATCAGAGTAACCTTCCTTACAAGCAAGGCTCCTCTGAAAAGGCAGCTTTTTGCGACAACCACAATAGCATCAGTATCTCAGCAGTTATCTCATCATCATGTGTGGTGCTAGACGGTCTCAGAGACAATACTGCCGACTGTCTTTCGGCCGTGTTTCCCCTAGGACACGATGGTCAGTCGTTCTTCACATCTGAGTTTCATAATTCAATGCCACCATCTTTACCCGATGGGAATCCGGCTGTGCTATCAAACGCCGACAATACCCTCCGACTAAGTAACTCTATGGAGAGTCCAGCCTTAGATCCTGGCTATGAGAACCATTTTTTCGAGTCGGCAGCCTCTGAATTCACTACAGTCGGAAATGAAATTAATACGGTCGATGAATCTGGCCGTACAAAGATGCATTTTTCTATGGAGAATGAGTCAGCTGTTGATGTGCCTATTAGGCCATACTTTGGTGACAATTATGATGATATAGACAATGCAGGACGTGCAATAAATATTTTCACTCATAACAACAAACAATCGAATAAAGAAGGTTACGTTGTTTATTCTCAAACGCAAGAAACTGACGATGAGTATTCCAGAAACGGGAGCTCCAGTACAGCGGGGCGTATTTTTTATTCTTTAAACCAGAACAGTGAGTCAACCATAGAACAACCATATGGGTGCACCTTGTCACAAACTGGAGCCGCATCATCGCGCAATAGTGTAATTTCGTTTATGCCTATTGTTAATACAAATGACAATGGCACAGATAGAATTCTGCGATCTTGGAGAAATAACAATTGTGTTCAATCCCGAACACCCTCGCCTTCCAAAGACATGTCATATTCTGGTCACCGGGATGCTAGAGTTAGCACATTCAATACCCAATATGATTTAATCTCATTACAAAAACGTTTTACCGTCTCCCCTCATTCTATGTTAGACACAGGAAGTCCTTCGCTCTCAACTCACTCAGAATCTTTAGCATCGTATACTAAGAACTCCTCTTGTCAACTGTATTCTTTACCACAGTATGAATATGAACATTGCGTTGTTTCTGAAGGTGTCGGAGGCAGAAATATGTGTAACATATTATCTGACAATGCTAGCATGCATGGGGATTATTCCAGGCACACATATCATCCCCTGTCCTGTGCTGAGGCAAACAGAAACCACAGAGCTGAGCTTGATGAAGTTGAATATTCAGCTATAGAAAATAGCACTGAAACAATACATCCCATGCGTGGGAAATGTGTGTCTGCAAAGGGTTTTAAATATCTAACTAATAAAAATACCAGCATTGCAAGTGTTCAAGAAAATGACAACTATATTTCAAGCCCCAACGACCTTTCACATAATGAAAGTCTGAAGAGCATTAAAAGTATGGAAGGCAGCAATGCAGACATACCCATCAGCACTGTAAGTACCGTGAAAGCGAAGCGGAAGCACGCAGAGACGGTAGAGAGTCTGCAGCATCATCTGGAAATGTTAGAAGATAAGCGAAAGAACTCAGTGCCCTCCTGTTCGTCTTTGAATTTGATACGACAGAGGAGCCAAGCAGTGGAAGATAAGTTGGCAGATGATAGAGGTGCTTTAATTGTCGACGTCGATCACATGATGTGCAGTGGGGTGACTGTTGCTGGATTCAAACCAAGAGCAATAATTCGGTAATTGTAATTGTTTTGCCGTCGATTAAGTGATGTTGTTTGTATATAGTTTAGCTCTGCTATTAGTGTTATTAATATATCATAATATTATCACAGACCGAGGCAATACAGTATATGATTTCTAGCAAGACACATAATGACGTTGTTGATGTCATCAGACAATACGGCCGGTTAACGTGTGAGCTGGTGAAATACCTTCTGTAATCATTTTACCAGTGTATAGCCAACTTGTCGTGCTTGACAGCTTCCGTCAACGACAAACTGCATTTCTGGTGGCGACTGCTTTGGCGTCTCTAGCAACTGAAATATGCATTTGCTGCGTACGCATATTTTTGGATTGTTCACCAGTTTTTCAAATGGGACGGTGAGGGATATTTAATTTGATTTTCACTGGCACAGGAAAGGAGCAAGTATGGGAACCCCGATTGCGGTTAAGTTGAAACCTCGACTAAGATGAAGACTACGCCTACAACAAAGACATGTGTGAATACCGGATGATGTCGATTGACAAACAAAAGGCAGGGCATTATAAGTAAAGGCCTCATGCGCAATGTATATCACATTATACACATACAAGTAAAAGTAAAGAGCTCATTTCCACGTCTCTCAGACGTTTTGGGTATATAGGGCTAGACCTAAATTGTATAGACCAAACGGCACTTGGTCGGTGATATGGTCAGCATCACGCAAGCCGCCTTAACTTCCCATGACTGCACTGGTACCCATTCAAGGCAGGATCGTCCTGGGAGCCAAGGTCATTTTTGAAGAAGAAAAAAAAGTCAGGCTCCACATTCTACAGACTGATATAAAAAATAAAATTATCTCCAAACCAAACTACGATAAAAGTATGAGATATATTTTCGTTGTTGAATCTCCAAGCTTGTGAAATGCTTCTAATTTTGTAGAGACTGACAATTATGCAGGCCGGTTGACAGGCAGAAGTATGATAAATGGCTGTTTAGACACAATGGGCATAATTTATGAGATAAAAAACTCTCGGTAAATTTATAAAGAAACCGTTGTTGCAGAATAATGCAAATTTGCCCAAATGTGGCAACAGACTGTAAAGACACGGAAGGGCTTTAGTTCAAATTCTGACAATATCAACTGCAAGATCAGCAATCCGGGACAAAAACTCTGACCATCAACAGGGTATAATAAAATCTAATCAGCATTCAAATAAAAGAAGCACGGAACAGGCTACACAGTTGAATGTAATACTTAGGAAATGTTGTCACGGAAGAAGGAAAAATGACGATCCCATGGGAAAGAAGATGTATGAAAGTCAACATAGTATGCCAGCTATTATCACTGCTTTAAAAAAAATCAATACTTATGAAGCCAATCAGCATTTTTATATGGACACTGATTTATCTGAATCAGAAATTTCATTTGATAAGCACTTGGGGGCAAACTTCAACTGCTCCAACATGCTGAGAGAAGAAATGCAATCTAGAATACAATCTGGAAATAAAGTATTCTATGCCCTTCAACATCTGCTAAAGTCAAAGTCGTTATCTCGCAACACCAAGATCTTAATATTTAAAACGTTGGTGAGACCAGTCGTTTAATATGGATCTGAAGCTGAAAGAGATGAAGGTTTATTACAGGTCTTCGAAAATAGAATATTACGACGAATCTTTGGGCCTATCAAAGATGTAAACAGTGGGGAATGGAGAGTGAGAAACAACAACGAAATTCATAATCTGTTTAAATCACCACTGATCATTGGCATCATGAGAGTTTACAGGTTGAAATGTCTGGGTCATATTGAGAGAATGTCAGATGACAGAGGGGTAAAAACTATATACACAAGGGAGATGAATAGTCGTAGACCACGAGGCAGACCAAGAAGACGATGGAGAGATAATGTCTAGAGAAACCTGCAAACACTTTGTATTACCAACCGGAAAAAAAAGAACGTCAGCCAAAGAGATGAGTCGAAGTGGGTGATATTTGCAGCAATTAACTTGAAAAGCTTGGAATGCTGCTGCTGCTGCTGCTGCTGCTGCTGCTGCTGCTGCTGAAGAAGAAGAAGAAGAAGAAGAAGAAGAAGAAGAAGAAGAAGAAGAAGAAGAAGAAGAAGAAGAAGAAGAAGAAGAAGAAGAAGAAGAAGAAGAAGAAGAAGAAGAAGAAGAAGAAGAAGAAGAAGAAGAAGAAGAAGAAGAAGAAGAAGAAGAAGAAGAAGAAGAAGAAGAAGAAGAAGAAGAAGAAGAAGAAGAAGAAGAAAGAAAGAAGAAGAAGAAGAAGAGAAGAAGAAGAAGAAGAAGAAGAAGAAGAAGAAGAAGAAGAAGAAGAAGAAGAAGAAGAAGAAGAAGAAGAAGAAGAAGAAGAAGAAGAAGAAGAAGAAGAAGAAGAAGAAGAAGAAGAAGAAGAAGAAGAAGAAGAAGAAGAAGAAGAAGAAGAAGAAGAAGAAGAAGAAGAAGAAGAAGAAGAAGAAGAAGAAGAAGAAGAAGAAGAAGAAGAAAGAAGAAGAAGAAGAAGAAGAAGAAGAAGAAGAAAAGAAGAAGAAGAAGAAGAAGAAGAAGAAGAAGAAGAAGAAGAAGAAGAAGAAGAAGAAGAAGAAGAAGAAGAAGAAGAAGAAGAAGAAGAAGAAGAAGAAGAAGAAGAAGAAGAAGAAGAAGAAGAAGAAGAAGAAGAAGAAGAAGAAGAAGAAGAAGAAGAAGAAGAAGAAGAAGAAGAAGAAGAAGAAGAAGAAGAAGAAGAAGAAGAAGAAGAAGAAGAAGAAGAAGAAGAAGAAGAAGAAGAAGAAGGAGAAGGAGGAAGAGAAGGGGAAGGAGGAAAAAGAGGAAAAGTAGGAGGAGGAGAAGGATAAGGATGAGAAGAAGGAGAAGAGGAAAAAGAAGAAGAAATTTCACTTGGCTAAAATAAGAAGCACTAGGACCAGAAACATTAAATATAGAAATCTCGTTGGTGTTGCCAAATGAAATCATTGGCACTACCCCACAGTAACTTCAGCGCTAAATGGCACTATGCCAAGTCATCTCGGTGCTAAATCCTTGTTTCGAGAACATCTCATTTGAACATCTGATAAAAGAACCCTTTTCCACGTTTTCCTCGCGTCAACTCTGACGGAAAGTTATGTTTGTTCGTCGACTTCTGGACTCTAGTCCTGTTCCACAAACTGAGTGTTGCGTGCACATCCATTTCACAGGTCTGACTCACTTGCATGTAGCCTGTTGGTTTATTGCAGATTTACTCCGACTTCGAAGGAAGCTCCCAATTAGTCTGGTAACTTCAAATTTATAATTAATTATTTATGTTTACATAATGGGAGCTTGTTCCCCCCCCCCCTTTCTCTCTATTTAGGTGTTTCCTTAGCTTACGTTTATTAAAACTATAAACACTTTTACTTATCTTATTGTGTCTAGGAAACGCATTAAGACGGCTACCCCCACGGATACCAAGGATACCGAATATTGGCAGAAACGGCGTAAAAACAACGATTCGGCTCGCAAGTCACGAGAGTCCAAGAAAGAAAAAGAAAAAAACTTCTACAAGAGGGCCTTGGAGTTAGAGTATGAAAACCTTTATCTGCAGGAATGTTTGAGTCTGGCTGAAGCTGAACTGGCCAGTCTGGGTCATCCGTTTGTTCCCCCTGTCTTTGGTGGTCAGTGTTATTACTGACTCCGTGTTATTACCGACTCAGTGTTATTACTGACTCAGTGTTATTACTGACTCAGTGCTATTACTGACTCAGTGTTATTACTGACTCAGTGTTATTACTGACTCAGTGTTGTTACTGACTCAGTGTTATTACTGACTCAGTGTTGCTACTGACTCAGTGTTATTACTGACTCAGTGTTATTACTGACTCAGTGTTGTTACTGACTCAGTGTTATTACTGACTCAGTGTTGTTACTGACTCAGTGTTATTACTGACTCAGTGTTATTACTGACTCAGTGCTATTACTGACTCAGTGTTATTACTGACTCAGTGTTATTACTGACTCAGTGTTATTACTGACTCAGTGTTATTACTGACTCAGTGTTATTACTGACTCAGTGTTGTTACTGACTCAGTGTTATTACTGACTACCCAGAACATATTTGGCGTTGTTACTGGGTATTTCCGTCAGTTACTGTAACCACCATCATCAGCATCAACAGGTAAGTAAAGTATAGGATCCTTTTTTACGCCAGTGACATACTGAGCATACGATTTGTACTTTTATAAACCAATCGGCACACAATTGGTGATGTCGCCTTTGCTTACTAGGATACAGACTATTGGTTCATTGCCTCTGAGGCATACATACTTCGACTTCGAAGGAAGCTCCCAATTAGTCGACTCTTACGACATGCTTCTGAGCAGGCAGTAGGTCTATTTTTGTTTTCCCCACAATGGGGCCCAGGAATCCACACTTGTTTGAGAACCGCCGCGTTAACGTATCGTTAGCCCGGTTTGGTTACGTCAGCAGCATGTACCGTCAAATGGAGACGGTCTTAGTAAGGCGGTGGCTGTCTTACATCCTCCCTCCATCCCATCTCCCCACCACCCACCTGGTACTCATTTAAGGTTGGATCGACTTTGGAGCCAAGGTCAGTTTTATCGGTGCATATCTGAATACAAAACCTTCTGACCGGCTGGCGAGCGTGTAGTCACCACTTCACCGTGGCTCCCTATCATCACCATCATTAATATCATTATTAGGGTCATTTCGGCTCTAGTTTTGGTGAATAAGCTTTCTGATCTTATCATGTTGTAGTTATTTACCTTTTGTCGTTCTTTTTAATTCTCTTTTTGTTGTGGTCTGTCTGTAGGCTATAGTCAATAAACCAAACTCTTTAGACAGCAGGTTCTTTATAACTGTAGAGTCCCTAAAACCATTGGTATCACTCACTGATCAGGGTATCTTAGAACTGCTTATCTTATAGTAAAAAGTTAAAAAAAAAAAGGTAAAGATCCCTTTTCACGCCTTAGGCGCATCGGGTATATGGGAAGAGCGTCCCATATTTTTACAGACCTATCGGCACTGGATGGGTAATGTGATCAGCATTACGCCGGCCGTCTTTACTTCCACAGGACAGTCATCCTGGTACCCATTTTAGGCTGGGTCGACCTGCGACGCCCTATACCCTGATAAAAATCTACGTAGCCAGCAGTGAGTGGGTTTCGATCGCAGTACGTTGGATTGCGAGTCGGACTCGCAACGTCTAAGCCACGGACGCCTCCTTATCTTATATTTACACCTGAAAATTGACTCTTGGGAGTCCATGTGTATCAGTAGAACCCAGAGAATAACTTTTTTTTTTTTAAATCTAGTACTTTCTTTAGTGCCAAAAACTTTGTTCGAGTCTAAGCTTTAGAAGTCTGCGACTTGTATAACTTTGAGACATGCAGATTCCGTTTAATATTCCAGAAATGATCCCTTTGTAAATTTTCGAATCCAACTGTTTCTTGCTTTTTTTAAATACCATAACAATAAATCTCAGTTTCCATTTGTTTCTGTTTTCATTGTGTTCAGGTGCTGACTAGATCGTGTGTAAGGTGATGGCTGTTTCAGCCTCCCTCCCCCCCCCCTTTTCCCCTCCCAGCCCTCGATGTATTTATGTGGACGCCTTTGGCGGTCGGTTGCGATGGACTTCATAGTTGTATACCTGCGGCCTGACCAGTCCGTCAAGTTCTGTAGCCAGGTCTTTCTTGGTCTGCCTCTTCTCCTCTTTCCCTCTACTGAGCCCTGCAGTGTTGTTTTTGAGAGGCCGTTAGATCTCATTACATGTCCATAGTCCATACCATTGCATTTTTCGCCTTTTCACATAGTTAAAAGACGTCCATAGTTGCCAGTGTGCTTTATAATTTTATGGCGAATCTCTTCGTTTGTAATGTGGTCTCTGTATGATTTGCCAAGAATTTTTCTGAAACATCACATTACTAATGCTTGTATCTTTCCATCACGTTCAGTTGTTAAGGTCCACATTTCACAGCCATATGTAAATGTACTAATAGCTAGTGCTCTGAGCAATCGAATCTTAGTTTTGCATGAAATATTTTTGGATCTCCATAATGTTTGATGCTTGGCAACGATTGATGTTGTTTGGGCAATCCTAAACATGATTTCTGGTCTTGACCCCAAGTCACTTAAAATGGATCCTAAATATTTCAAATGAGTCTCTTGTTCTAGTCTATGGCCATTAACGTAGATTGGTGAAGTTCTGCCAGCTGGATTATTATAAAATATAACTGTAGAAATTTATTTTGAGTCTCCCATGTTTTTGCTTGTGCATGTAAATGTTTTTGTCGGATTCTTTCGATTGCACGAACCAGTAGGGGCGTTCTTGTTCTTTAAAAAATTTTTTTTTTATTCTGTCAACCACACATTATGCAAATAGATGCACGATTGAGAGAGAGAGAGAGAGAGAGAGAGAGAGAGAGAGAGAGAGAGAGAGAGAGAGAGAGAGAGAGAGAGAGAGCGGAAGAGAGAGAGAGATAGGGCACAGCGCAAACTTGCACTAAACACTTGTTGGCACTTGGACGCGTCAGGCCGGTACTGAACTAAAATGACAGGCCGCCATGTATTTACTTGCCCGGGACACTTCACCCATTGTATGTGCTCTAGCCTTGACATTCACGGCAGCGTGAAACCAAATTGCTGGCTTGAGAATAGTGGTCTGTCTCTAAAACGGCATCATTCATGTGACTGTTGTTGTATGCACCGCCCGGAGAGACACTTTGCACCCACTTGCAACGAAGAAAACCATTTCGTGTCAACGACTAAAATGTTTGTTTTGTAAACGTGAGCCGGTGTCCGTAATTTCCTCCTTGCTATTCTTTGTTCTTAACCTCAGTTCATCAAAACAAAGTTGACAGATTGGGACAGCGCTAAAATGTATGAGGGAAAACAGTGTGTGTAGTCAGAGTAACAACATCAGCAACAACAACAACACCATCAGCATCAGCATAAATAAAACTACTTATTCGGTCACACAAACACACACACACACACACACATACACACATACACACACAGGGGGACACACTGGTAATCTGGTAATAAAAGTTTCAGCTTCATAGCAAACGAGTCACCCCATAGTTGCTCCGCTCCTGTGCCAACGAAAAACACACATAATGTTTATCACAGTCCCTTGTGGAAAGATTGACAGACTGCTGTCCCAGCATATGCACTAGCATTTACACGCATTAAAAGCATACGGTAGCCATCCGAAGTGCTAACACAAACAGTCCGACATTAGAAATGCAGTTCAACATGGATGGTAGCAGAAGTCACCAACAGAGCAGCAGTTACACACGCGATCAATTTTAATCACATAATGGCACTACCAATATTGCGCCATTTTCTAAATCTACAATTCACCACGTTGGTCAAAAGGAAATCAGCAGCTCACAGTGTCACGCCATGCACTCAACTCAGAAGCTGGGCCATGAAACTATTCTTTCAGTCTAAAAATGGAGCAAAAATGCACCGGCCACCGTCTAGCAAAAGCAAAAAAATTTGCCACGGCTAACAACAGTGACAGTACCTAGCGGCCATTTTGACCGGAAGGGGGACAAGGGGGACACACACGCACACGCACACACACACACACACACACACACACACACACATATATATATATATATATATATATATATATATATATATATATATATATATATAATACGCTACTGGACAGCAAACACAAATATTTGAAATCAGAGTAAATTTATAAACAAACATTCTGAAGCAGCATGTCAAACTGTTGTTCAACGCTCAACCCTACAAGGACATTACGCTGAGCGATAAACACCTGGTGACAAAAAAGACAACCATTCGAATGAGGATCACACGGAAACAGGTCACAGAAACCCCGTCCAACCCATAGGTTAGGTTGTATCAGAACCCCCCGGCAACAGTCAGGGTGGGGGCTTTGAAACAACAACAAAATTGCATTCGACAGTGGGACGCAGAAGTCTCGATCTCTAAATGGTGGTCGTTTTCAAGCATACCTGCGGCAAGCTTAGAGGAAATAAATATTCTGTATTAAATGTTATTAAATGACTCCCATTAGTTGTCATGTGTGGCCCTTTTGGCGACAGAATTGAACTCATATGACCCTCAGTATGATATGTCCGCTCTAAAGGAGAAATTCGGTTCATGCCGTGTGGGGGTAGGAGTGTCCAACGGGCCTTAACCCGAAAGCCACAGCGCCTCTGTATTGAACGTCAGTTGTCTGGCTCCTGTTTACGCCAGAGTTGCGTTATTTGCACTTTTCGGCGACACGCCCGACTTGCAGTCGTCTGTTGACAGAATTAGCGATACATCTAGGCTGTAAACATACATCGAGAAAGTCGCGCTACAGCTGGCTAGCATTTGTCTAAAACTGGGATGACTGTACTCAAGCTAATATGAGGAAATTAGTCCACTCAACTGCGACTAAGAAGCTTAACTGGCGGGAGGGAGGAGGGACGCCGCACAAATTAGGTTAGTTGCGTATCCTTTTACAGGACGTTGCAGAACCAACCCCAGGAGTCCCTGGCTATTGTGTGGTTTCTCTAGGCAAATTTACGTCCAGTAGTTTGCCAGTGCTTACTGGACGGTCGGCCGCCTGATGCCACTGTCGAAACCAACGCAAGGCGCATGGCCCGCAGCTGGGATCGAACCCAGCACCCCGGCATTACGAAGCGT